TTAAGCCGATTCTGGAATGGATGAAGGCCAGTGCTCCCAAGCCCAAGTCGAGCGACGTCTCAGCGAAGAGTTCGACCACTAAAAGCTATTGGGCCCAGTGGGACAGCTTGTTGCTTCAGGATGGAGTTCTGTGCCATAAATGGGAAAGTGTTCGGGGAGACCGCTGTCATTTGCAAATGGTTGTCCCTGAAGCTAAAGTACCGGATGTTCTACAGCTGTACCACAATGATTATTCAGGAGGCCATCTGGGGGTTAAACGAACTCTACTGAAGATCCGAGAACGGTTTTACTGGGTCCACTGTCGAAACAATGTCGAGGACTGGTGTCGCAAATGTACAAGTTGTGCGGCTGTAAAGGGACCTCAGACTCGTAGTAGAGGTGCATTGAAGTTGTACAATGTTGGTGCACCATGGGAGAGAATATCCATTGACGTTGCGGGGCCGTTTCCGGAGAGTGAAAGCGGTAACAAGTATTTCATGGCTGTGATGGATTACTTCACTAAGTGGCCAGAAGTCTTCGCCATTCCAAATCAAGAAGCTTCAACAGTTGCAGATAAACTAGTTCATGAAATCTTCTGTCGCTTTGGAGTACCTTTAGAGATTCACAGCGATCAAGGAAGGAATTTTGAGTCTCAAATATTCCAGGAAACTTGCCGAGTTATGGGTACTCATAAAACAAGAACGACTTCTTATCACCCGCAATCTGATGGAATGGTAGAACGATTTAATCAGACATTGGAGAGGTACCTAGCAAAAGTTGCAGACAACCGGCAACGAGATTGGGACAAGCACATGCAACCGTTTTTGTTGTCATATCGAAGCGCTGTTCACGAAAGTACATCAGTGACACCAGCTTTCGCAAACTTTGAGAGAGAATTACGGCTGCCTGCGGACCTGATCACCGGGATACCACCTGATACTCCACGCAGTATAACCGATTATGAAAATGACTTGCGGAACAAAATGAATGACGTTTATGAGCACGTCAGACAATCGGGCCAGCAAATGTCTGAAAAGATGAAAACCCGGTACGACCGCAAAATGAACAACAAAGGGTTCGACGAAGGTTCACTAGTGTGGTTGCACAATCCAGTCCGCAGCAAAGGGAAATCTCCTAAGCTTCAAGCTAAATGGGACGGCCCGTACCGGATTGTGACCAGGATCAACGATGTAACCTACCGGATAGAGAAAGGCGCAAGAGGGACTCCTAAGATCGTCCATGTGGATCGCCTGGCGCGTTATTATGGGGCCAATATTGCTCGGGACGAGCATGTCTTAGGAGGGGGGCAGTGTTGCGCGGCTAAGTTGACATCTGGCACTAGCGCCATCTAGTGTCGGATAACGGAGCGAGGGGAGCTTTCCAGAAAATGACATGACTAATCTTTCAACGGACAGCGCCATCTGTTGTCGAAACGAAGAACTAAGCTTCTGGAAGCTGACTCTCGAACTTTCGGCGCTTTGTCGATTGGTGCGCGTATTTACTTGAATGTTCTGGATGATTCGGTACTAATGTGTATTTATAGGCACTGGAAGGTGCCATCGGGGGAAGTATTGAATTTGGCGAGACAAGCGAAGCTTCGGAGCGGAATAAAGTTAATCAGTGTGATTAATTGTTAGTGTTTTAATTTTTAATTGGTGTAAAGAAAATTAAAGTGTTAATTTAGGTAATTCTATCGACAATTTCTATTGTCACGAACCTCAAGCTCGTAACAATATCATACAAAGGCGATATTATATGGAAAACCTCCCCACAACTAAAGGGGTTTATGTTCCGCAGTGGATTTTCCGCGCTTATGATGCTAATTGGTGATGTTTGCAACGACTGTGGTGGTTTATAGATATATATTAAGTTACTGCACAACTTATTTTAATGAACCAAGCTGCTACTATAACTACTACACGTTGAGAAAAATTCGCAGGCCATAAAACCAGGCCATAACACACTCTTTTGAATATTATTTGTGTCAAGTAAACAATAGTTTTGCTCCAAGCTGCAGCTCCAAATCAATATGGAGGCTTATGTTTAGCAGTGGACTTTTATAGGCTGTGATAGATGTTCCATGCATCACCAGATGGTCTATGGGAGTGTTGTCTACCTTTTTTATTTATTACGTATTAAGTTTTGTTTAACACCTCTGATAAAAAGGATACCAATTATAATACCCAACTATCTAAATGCAGTGTGATTTTTTCAAATTTGTACTATTCCGTCAAATATACCTGTTTTTGATATCTTTACTTTTAAGAAAAAAGAAATAAATATTTCTTAAGTACAATTCGTAATTAATATCTACAGTTATATACACGATATAGAAGATCGTTTTAAAAACAAATTTAATTTACATCGAACGGCTTACCCTGGATGATGATAGTTTAGGAATATTAAAAAGGTCAATAATTTACGCTCGAGACGTGAAGGGATGGCATTACTATAGTATTCATTTCTTCTCACAGTTGTTAGTGACTTTTTTATTATATAAAATCAATATTTTTAATGGAATTTGCTTAAAAATAATTTCTTAAGAATCATTGATTACTTTATTAATAATTGTTTATTTATTAAATTAAAAACTCAATAACACCGTGTAGTGGCGGTTTAAGAATATCCACTATTAAATTATATCAGTATGAAGTACAATTATAAAATTAAATATATTATCCCGTGGGTGTCGTAAAGAGGCGGCGGTGGGATACAAATCAAGAGATGGGCAGCAGCATGTTCCTCATAACTTCTAAAAGTGAAAACTGCGGTTGCCAACCCGTGTGCCAAGTGTGGCAACTATGGCAAAAATCCCCTGTATGATGAATCTATGGCAGAGGCCTATGTGTAGTAGTTACGGTAATTAATTTAAAATAAATCATTTCTCATGCTTAAATAACCATGAAATATAATTTATTTTTATGGCTATACTCTGTTTCAATAATAACACAAATATAAAAATCAGAACATCTAAGAAAAAATGTAGTCAAAACATCTTGGTTAGACAACACGGTAGCACTGGCGCAGCGCTAGCATTTAGCTACGGGCTACGGCATTACGGGGTCAATGGTTCGGATCCTGTACGGAAAAAGTGATGTACTTGGTGTATGCTTGTCCATCCACAATTTATGTATAAAAACGCGTTCACGAGACATAAAATATTTTTATAGGATATAAGTATGATAACGAACGTGCTGTCCACCTGACGGTAAGTGGATACTGTGGCGGATGGACATCTACATCTATCGAGGTTAAGAATGAAAATGCAGATGTGTTGTCACGCCTAAGTACTAAGATGAAATGCCTCATTTCCAGTAAAAAGCGTCTCCGTTTCTCTATACTCACCATACGAAATAGAGCATCATTAAGCATGCATTAAGCTGCTATTTTATGCTGGCATTCTGGGAGAGCGTAGTCCTTTCCCGGTCGAGCCGACACATTCGTGCTCCAACCACATCTCTATCACTTATACTAACTATAAATTTTTAATATAATAAAAGTCTTGATTATTTGTTAAGCATTTTTTATATTAGTAAAATGAATACTATCTTCAGTTTAATCCATCGCACGACCATAAAACAACACAAACTATTGAATTCGATGGTGTTACTATAGGTCAATATTTAACACAATTTAACTTATAATTACTTTTGGTATACACTGCTCGATATTAAATATTATATGAAAGAAAAGTTACGTCCCAAAATTTCCAGCTACGATATAAATTGTATTTTCTCTGATATTTTCGTTTTGAAAGGAGATTTTAGAGAATTCGTTATGTTTTACTCTCTTTACTCTGTAATTAAATCTTGTTTTCAGCGCTCTGTGCAAAATGTATTGTGCTACTAACATACAAAAGAGGTTACAAACATTTTTTTAGTTTTATTCATGCAGGATTGTAAATTGTGCTTTTGTGATTTTATTATATCGCTGGCCCCGGGTAATAAAACGGTAATATCAAAAATCAAATTTTACAGGAGTAATAAAAGAAGCTAATTTGTTTATAGTTCAGCGTACAGTGATCTAAAACAGGCATTCAATGTGTCAAATGAAAGCTAAAAATTTTTACCCATTTAACCTTTTAAAAATTCTTATAATGGTATAAATATTTAATGAAATAATTGAAAAAATGTATAATACAAATTATAGGTGATACCATTTCAATTGCAACATCATTAACGACTTTTTAAACACACCGACCACTGAGATTCAGGATTGTAAGAATATATTACGACGTGATTTCCACTTTAAATCTCGAGCGTACCAGCCGATTACCACCTTCTTCAAGGAATTTTTATAGCCAAAGCTTAGCTGTGTCATCCACTTATCGCTATTTTATAAACATATCAATGAAACATATTTTTATGTAACTACTGTAAAGGACCGACCTTATATTGTAATTAAGTTGTGTTTTTACCATTTCATACAGCATTTTATGAAATTAATCACTTTTTTTAACGTTACTACTACCTAATTCTTGCTTAGTTAAATTATAAATGATTATTATTTTGTATAAATAAAAAACCCTTGAAAATCACATATTTTTTTAATACGTATTAAACTTTGGAAACAAAAATTAAACCTGTCAATCCTTCCTTAAAGAAGAGAAAAAAAATTATGCTACTTGTATTATGCTGCTTGAATAATATGAAATAATTTTTTTAACAATTAAACTTTGGAAACAAAGGTAAATCGGTCAATCCATTAAAAAGGAAAAAACTACTATGCTACCTTAATTTGAATAAAATCATATAATCTTTATTAACTATAAACGGCTCATCCTTTAAAAAATACAATACTATCCTAATTTGAATAAAATCATATATTTTTATTTACTATTAAATTTTAGAAACAAAAATAAAATGGTCAAAACCTTTAAAACCTTAAAAAAAATATTATGGTAGTTTAATTTAAATCTTCGTTTTCAATATCGATTTCTTCTTCAGAATTCCCAACACTATGCAAATTGTTATAAAATATATGATAATGTATCGGGATTGCTTCAGTTTTGCAGAGACTCATCAAATCATCACAAAGTGGTTTGGTAAGGCGATTGGCTCTCTGTAGAGATTTTTTAATTCATCTCTTGAAACATCAGTCACTGGCGTCTTTTTGGGTCTTCCTCTTGAAGATCTGGTGTCTGATTCAGTATTTAAAGAAATATACTCATCGTCAAAGTTATACTTCAAATAAATAACATCTGGATGGGCTTGAGTAATTTTGATTTCGTGAATCTTTGTCCACAGAACTTTTTCATTAGTTTGGTCTGCCCGCAACCGGTATATTTTGTCCATTATCTCTTTTAAATCGAAGAAATTAAGTTGTTCCATTTCTTTAAGATGAAATTTTTTACCATTTATCTTGGAATTCATGATTATACCGCACATTTGATCAGGAGTATAAATCGTGTGGTTCTTTTTTGCGCGTCCGATAGAAGAGAATGCAATGACTGGTACATTTAGGCTGCCTATGACCAGTTTCAAAGCACCTATGTATTATGTTAACTCCATACTTTTTTGGCCAGATATAAATAAAGAGCAAAAATAATCCTGTTTTTATTCTGGCCAGCATATCCATCAGAATAAAATATGAAATTCTTGATACAACGTTGGCTCAGAGACTCAATTTCAATGAAATTTAGGACGCAACTGCCGATTTCATTAGCAACCCTTTTGACCACTTGATAGTGCCAAAGATAGCAGTAACCTCTTCTACTTAATGAGTTGTAAATCGTAAAGTTCTATATAGGATACTTTCGCTTGTAATGAAAGATTCCTATCTCTGATTGAGGAATCGAATAGTGTGATTCTTTAACTGGAAATAGTTTTATATGTGTTAACTGTTTTTCGGATATGATATGTGTATTCAAAAATTTTTTTTGCATATGTAAATTGCTTCTGATTCATTTATCTTGAAAAAATAGCTAATCGTTTGTGTCCTGTTTTTGTTCTTACTAGTTGTATTTTTTTAATATCTTTAGTATTTACATGGCGTAAGATATAGTGCCACTGGTCCTAGTGATTACTAAGTTTTCAAAATTCGTCGTATATAGCCTGCCGAGAGACTTGAGAAATATTTTCACCGTATTTTTTATTACATTTACAGTCGTCATTTATTGTATTTGTTTCAAACTTTTTTTCGAATTACTACCATTATAAGCTTGGCCTGAATTTTTTCAGGTTTTTTATTCTTAACTTTTACCCAATTTTCTTCGTATTGCCTTTTTTCTAGTTAATTCTTTGGTGATTGATGGTACAACAGATACAGACGAAAAATTTTCTATCGTTGCAGTTTAGTTGCAATCATTAGATTCGATGGTAATATTTTCTGTGGTTATAGATTGGATGCAGTCATTATATTCGACGTCAATATTTGTTGTAGATTGGTTTTCAACTAAGAAATCCGCGTGTAAAGTTATAGTATTATTGCAACCATTAGATTCGACGGCAGTTTTTTCACATTGTAGAATCAAAATATTTGAATAATCATTATCGACCGGTGAAGTGCATAAAACATTTGGGTCTATATGTGATTTTTATTCTTGGGGTGTAGTTTGGAGGCAAGTTTCTGCTTGTAGTACCGTTGTTGCTTGTTGCATCGTTGCGTCACTTAGTGTTGTAAGGTCTGTAGATTCAAACACATTATAACATACTATAGACGGAGTGACAAGATTCTCTTTAAATCTGCGCTCGCTTCTGTATGTCGCATATGAAAAGCAAAAAATATATATATATCAATTGTTTACCTAAACATGGTGAAATGGAAAGCAAGCGGTAATCATTATATGTAGGAGTGAAAGGGATGGCGTTCAGCGTAACATGGCATTACGTCGCCGGGGTTATAATAAATTTACAGGAAGAAAGGCGTAATAGCTTATGCAGAATAAATCTCTTGTGATTACTTCGTATTAAGTGTCTACATTTTATTGATGTAACAAGGTTATTTTCAAAAACGCGGTAAAATATATTACTGTTCCTCTTTGTTTAGAAATTTAGTGTTCACCGGATTTTTGTTAAGTTTCTTAGAGTAATGCACTAATACATAACTTAGTCGTTTAATAAATGTCCATACAATCAATCTGTCATTGTCATTTATTCTTGCGAAATATTAATAAAGAAACCTAAAAAAATAAGAGTGATACATTGATACCCAGAGAAGCCAAAAATCAAATAACATTAAAAAGGGCGTAACAGCGGGTACCAGCCGCGGCCAAGAAATATATATATATAAGCATGTACGGGACTATTATCGGCATGTGGTGATGCGCACCGAAGGTTTCGCTCCACGTCCGAGCCAGTTTATATCCACCCCTACCAACGACCGATATCAGTTCCTAATATATACTATATATATATATAAAATACTAAATAATAAAGTATCACACAAGAAAAATAACTAACTTAAATTGAAATTAAATTTCACATAGACAAAAGTACTATAGAAAATAATGGAATAGAATAGCATAGAATGGATAGGAGTGAAGTGGAATGAAAATGAATGGAGGAGAATAGAGTGGTTTAGGGGGAAAGTAGTACAGAAGAAGACGGACTTGAACAGAACAGAACACAATAAAACAGAACAGAAAAGAACAGAACAAGGAAAAATATAAGATAATGGAACAGAATAGAATAGAATCGAATATTAGAATGGAATCGGGTCCGTGAAGTACACGACGAGTTAATAACCGTGTCGCTGCATAGACTGTCAAGCGTAAAGGCTGTACTCCAAGAAACAGTGCACTTAATAAAACAATGCCCACATAATATGATATAATCTCACAATTTGGCTTTCCGGCAATGCTGCAACACTTTTTGCATTCAATCCATAAAACATTGGGTAGGAGTAATTTTGTTTTCTATAACAATATTGGAAAAAAATATTTCGAGAGATCTACTAAAATAATTAGATTCAGTGCACATTAAAAAAATTACTGCAAAATGCAACAACTTAACCCTTAATTAGGCGCAGTGAAAATCACACTATTAGTCTTTATAATGTAAGAAGAAGCAAAGTAAGCTGGAAACATTATTCTGCTACATAAAAATACTGCAGCGGAATGGTTTATTATGCAGTTTAATTAAATGACTAGGCCATTAGTTTCGACTACACTTTTAACTAAGTATAGGGATTCTCACTCAAACAAAATAACTTATGTAACATAGTAAATCAACACATAAAATTACTTTAAACTACTAGTAACTAACAGTAATATTCTTTAACTGCATGTAATGATCGAAACCGGGTTACTCACGTACTCACAGTACTTAGGTACTGCAAGCGCTTAGCCTTTAAACTGCCACGACTTAAATAAATAAGTATATTTCCTTTGCTCTTATACATTTTCGGAAGCGGCATTGCCGAACAAAAGTTCCAACATAATAATATTCCAGACGTTGGCAGTGCTTTTATGTAATAGTTATGAACGCCCGCTGCGTCTGTATTTTTCTTACAAACTGCATTAATGTCATTTTACTTACTACGTTTTAAAGCCCATAAAGGTTTTAATATTTACAAGTTTCCGAAGCTTTTTACGATTTTTTTACATATTGTATAGCAATTTAAAGAGGACAAGGTATATATATATATATATATATATATATATATATATATATATATGTATATATATATATATATATTGTATCTCAATTCTACTGTACCTTCTTTATTTTTATATATTACGCGATATCTTCATAATATGTTGTAAATCAATTTTATTTATTTATTTTTTATTGCATTCCCTATTACAAAAGAAAACAAAGTATGGACTTAATGCCATAACGCATTGCATATCAGTCAGCTCATGAAGTAGTGAGAGTTTAAATGATTTTTTTTTTTTACCAGCGCATTTATCAGCGATTTTTGCAGACTGATACGAAGACTTTTAAGAAAAGAGCCTATTCTGATATAAAAAGTTGACAACGCACCTGCAATTCCCTGGAGTTGCAGTTGTTTATGGGTATTCTGTCAGTGTAGTCACTTATTATTAGGTGAGCCACATGTTCCTTTTCCTTTTTCTCTATGAAAAGTAAGTTTTTGTACAGTGCATCGTATAAAAGTTAAAGTTACAGCCTATTGACGTCCCACTGCTGGGCACAAGCATCCTTTATTTTCTAAGAAGAATTATATCACATCGATTGTTTTGAAATATTTCTGCTCATAAAAAAGCTTTATAGCGTACGAAGCAATGTAATTCAAAGTGGCTTTCATTTAGACGTCAGTGAAGTTAGCGAATACGCCTGCGGTGATCTGTTATACAAATCGTCGCCCACTACAGACATCAATTCCTCTCAAACACAATATTGCATTAAAGTAAATATCTTGTGAAACTTAATTAACACATTGTGTTATCAATATTATCTGATGAAAAATTATATTTTTCTTGCACTCTACACTTTTAAACCGGGAAATCAGAGATAGAAGGTAGGTACCTAACGAAACGAACTTCCCAGCAGAAGAGGATAAGAGAAGGAGACGAGAAGATGCAATGCACATATGGTACTTGATCTTTCTGCAAGGTATGCATTAACGTTTCGATGACAAATATTAACGTAACATTGTGCGGAAATACGTTTAAGAGGGTATTTTTTAATTTAGATGTTTTTCATGCTCTAAAACTGAGGCTCCTAAACTTATTCCTCGTTTCGATTTTTACTTTCAAAATTTTACTATGCTCAGTTTTAAATTTATATATCATTTTACATTTTTACCATATTCCCAAAACTCAACAAATATGTAAATATTAAATTAAACGATGGAAATTTGCATCGTGGCTGAGTTTCAACCTTAAATTCAGTGGTAAAAACAAAAAAAAAAACATAAATAGCGTACCGTACTTTTAACAATGCAAATCACTAATTAAAAATAGTTATAACTTTAACGGGAGGAACGTACTTGAAGAATTGACAGCAAATTATCAATATTTGGCTTCAGATTTTTAAGGAATAACCGCAAATCTCCCCGTTTTGATATGTTCAGTTTACTCCTTTTTTGTTACTAGGCTAGGCTTGATACGACGCTTAAACTTTTTTCGATTAGGTATTACGACGGAAACCCTATAAAAAGTTTTTTCGCAATTTTTCACAGCTCAAGATATTTTTTGGATATTTCTTTTAGCAGCAAAAATGTTTGATGGCCATTTTTAAATTTCACCTTCAGCTACTCATTGGTGCTAAGCTTGAGTAGCTCCTCTTGCTATACCACATTTGCCACTTCCATTTCATAAAATGTATATGTGATCCATGGTGGTATTTCCATCGTCAGAATATCTTCAAATTTATTTTTAAAGTCATCACGCAGGGCATTTAAATGTCTGAATATCCCCATCAAGACATTCCGCCTGTTACAAGTTTGGAAACTGGAATAGTTCACGCCAACTTTTATTTTGCTT